AATGCATAAAGCAAAGCAAATATGCTCTAACCAATGTGATTATGTGCCCGTATTTGCTCCTACTACTACAAGTACTTCCATGACTTCAATATGGCTATGGATCAAACTTGGAAATATGATTATGTTCTCTAAATAATTAAGGTCGAATATTTGAGATTTATATAAGCACACTCTAATCCAGTGTTATTGTTTAATACAATAATGATTACCTCAACCCACAAAAAAGAAATAAATAGGTAAATGCAGACATCAATCAGTCTACTGCTTTCTGGATTTTAGTTCTAAACAAGAGAATGCACAGTTTCTCCATTGAAAAATATAGGAAGCAACCTGTTGAATGGGTCACAAACGACCCGAAACCCGAGCCCACTATGCAATGCCATGCCGGCCCGTACAACTTATCGAACTCCTGCATAAATCAGAGAGCCCATGATTAATCAATGAATATTAAGTGACTAATCGTGATTATAAGTTGTTTAATTGTGTGACCAAGAACATGGGCTGTTGGAAGCAGCTGGAACATGAACCCAGTCCAGATTTGCAGACAGGTGGACAACTAGAGCAGAAACAAAAGTGCTGCCAATTCAGATCCATTGATTCATGATCTAATTAACTCTCTCATGAAATCATCTGATCAATGGGCCCATTGATAGAGAGTCAAAAGAGAAAGGCTGCCTTGTAAATGATCATTGTATACAACTACGTGTTTATTTCGTACATAATTGTTTGTTAAGCAACCTCATATTAATTCAAAGACCAAGAAGAAGATCTGTCTTTATCACCGAGTTCGTGTATGTGTCTATCTTATGCAATGCATTTCATGCGGCTATATGATCGTAGTGCGGTAAGAAAAATAAACACATGACTATATAAAACCAAAAACACTTAAAAATCTTCAAGCGTAGGAGAACCAAGAAATATATCAGATCTGGTGATCGGTGACTCAATGTCTATCTAAATATTTTCATTAATTCATCCCATGTGGTCTGTGGGGTTTGTATGTGTCACCGTATGAATATGATCACACATGAACCCAATCATCCAAAACAAGTCCGTATGAATATGATCACACATGATCCCAATCATCCAAAATAAGAGATATGAAGGGAAGGAAACTCCAAAAAGAAACACCACTTAGAATCCAAGACCAAAAAAAGAAAATAATTTATCCTAAACATTTGTCTTGGGCTTGTTTCCCCTCGGGAGATTTTCGGGTGTTACTGATTGTACCGGTGATGGGGCAAAATTTCTGCTTCAAACCTCATAATATAAAACTTTTTTCTTTTGAAGGATTAACCTTAATTAGTTTTAAGAACAAATAATAGTGGTGAAATAAAGTAATTACAACATAACATATGTAGATCTAGGGTTTGAATTTGGAACTTACCTTTTTTAAGTTATAAGCCATGTGTCTTGAGCTAAACTTCTCCAAGCTGTCATAAGTTCGTCTAGCGCTACGAAAGGCATGAACTTGCATGAACCCAGGCATGTCCGAGACCAACACCTTCACTTGAAGAAATGAAGCCACTGATGCCAAATTAGTTTCCACATGAGACACAGACTTCCTCGACCCCAGCACTTCTCCTCCACCTCCTCCGCCTCCCCCTCCTCGTCTTCCATTTCCAAAATTACCATCTAAACTATAAGTTTCATTCCCGCCCTGCTGCCTCTTCTCGTCACAATGGAGTACATCAGTTTCTGGACGAGGTTTTGGTTTTCTCATGGATAAATTGAACCAGTTTCGTAAAGCATGTGTTTTATCCGCCATTGTAGTAACAGGCTTGGATTCCGGCTTTAAGTGACGGCCGCTGCTCGGATTGTATTTGTACGTGGACATGGCTCCTCCTCTCTTCTGCTTCTCATGGCTGGGAGTGCTACTCGCCATTTCTCAGTTCTCAGACTCTCTCTCTTACTATTTCATGTGTTCTGGAGGTACAAAAAAAATATAAGCAGGATAGGGGGACTGTTTCGAATCACCAGCACAATCAATGGGGTATTAATTAATGGTTGATTAGGATGGCAACATAGTCTATAGTAGCAAACCATGTGTTTCTGCCTGTAATCTTGGATATTAAAATGATGTTGAAATTGCTATTTTTGTGACTAACATTTCTTGATTTTGATTAGGAGTAATAATGTTTCACGTCGTTTGTCATTTTTTATATTTACGTTGAATATATATACTAGTCGATCTAATTCATTTCGATGAAAAACTTCGTAATAATGTCTTTTATTTTTAAATTTGTGCTATCGTTAGCCATGCATATACTGAGTTGTTTATTGATTTCGATTTATATAGATATTAGTCAAATCTTAATTCATTTCAAACATGAATAATACACTCAATCATGCATGTGACCTAATATTAATTGCATTTACATGATCAATCAGTCATGTATTTGCATGATTAAGTAGTGATTAGAATTCGTGTTAATATATCATATCATTTTACGAGTTTGTTGTTGCTTGAAATTGATGATGGTTGGATATTGGTAATTACTCGTTGGGGCATAATGGTCTCCGATCGATGGGCGGTTTATGTGGTTTTGTTTTCGAGACAAAGCAGCAGAGGACCCCCGACCTCCCTACCTTCCACCGCTCATTTTGTTGGTGGTACACAACAAAATGGTCGCTGTCTTTGCTGTATGCTGTTATTCTTTATCCACATATATACATATATAAAAAAATTAAATTACAAGATTTGACAGCTCCTAACTTACAATTGACTATGATATTGTATATGCTAGTGTATATTTTATAACAACCTTTGTTTTCTTCAAAGCACCCTTCCTAGAAATTAACAGGATCACAAATTATTAAAAGAGTATGATCTAAAAAATAATTATTAAGGGCAACAAATGAAAATTCTGTCTTAGACGATTCAATTTTACATTTGTAATATTGAACAGAATTGAGTATTGTTTCGGTCAAGTAGTCACGATATTATGATTATCTCTGTCTTTAATTCAAAATTTTAATAATGTAAATAAAAATAGTTGGGTAGAAACAGAATCTGTTAGTTTGATCATGTTTTCTATTTTTATTTTAATAAAAAAATATATAAGAATTATATAGGAAAAATCAGGGAGGAAGAAAGAGATTACATAAACTACTATTGGCATTCGTTTAAGAGATTTTCAATTAGTGAAAATTACTGCATGGGCATATAATTATCTATTAAGCGTCACCATCGGGTCAACATGATCACATGTCCTATACTTCTTCCAATATGCTTAGAGGTAAAAAAGTTCCGAAATAAAATACTCTTTTAAAAAAAATTAGAAGGTCAGATTTTACTTCCTCATAATGGTGCAGTTCACTATTGATTTTATACGATGTGTTTGACTTGATCAACGATTACTTGAGAATAAACGAACAGTTCGAATCATTAAAAGACAATATATAATAAAATTTCACCCAATAATATCCTTCAATAAAAAACACATTTTTTATAATTTGGAGATATATAGCGTCTACAGTTCTCATAGACTCAAAATTTAGGCCCATTTTGAGCCACATAGCCAAAAGTACTTAGAACCCCATCTAAACAGTAGAGTTCACCAATCACCATATTATTCTCTTTCCAAATTAAATGTTTACGTAAATTGTAGGGAGCATATTTGTTACAAGACATTAATGGATTTTGATTGGTGAAGTTGTATTTTAGTTCCTTATCGTTGGCACCATATATAATATAAGGGTATAAATCTGCATGTGGGGCCTTCGGACTTGGAAGCTCCTGAGTGACCTCCCCCTTCCCCCCGGGCCCCCGGCCCCTCTCCACCCCCCCCAAAATACTTGTGGGTTAAAAGCTCAGCAACAGACCTTTCATTCAGGAGGGTCTTTGCTGATAATTAAAGGAAGAGGAGCCCTCAGTCTCCTTCTTCATGCATTCATAAACAGTGTAAGGCAAAATGATAGTTTTCTTTGAAAGCGATCGGGGAGTCGAATACAAGATCTCAGGTGAAAGAGCAAGTCATTCTTAACTACTTGAGTTGCGTGCCCCTTTCAGGAAAATCTTGATGCCAATTTGTAATTGCTACATAAACATGTAAGTGTACGGCAAGGCAAAATGACCTAGTTTTCTTTATACAGGTGATATTGAATATATGGAAATCAAACGTAGGACCTCATATGTAAGAGTAACTATTCTCAACTACTTGAGTTACATTACCCTTGCAGCCAAAATGAGTATTTAAGTAGACAAAAAATTGGTTAGGTTTTGGGATAGAAGAAAGCTTCCAATTTTTGTGAGGGTAGGCGAGAAGATTTAATAGGATAGTAAGTTTAGTTAAATCTAGTAGCTAAATTGTGGTAAGAGTCAAGAGTGTGGGAAGAAAATCAATGAAACAGTTAAGAAAAAAAGAAAAAGGAATTAATGTTGAATGCAAAGACAATGTTATTTCGCTATCGTATATTCAAATATCAATAGTTTTGGAACTTAATTTGAGGTGTAGTTAGCAAGACCACTTACAATTACAATTATTTTTTTGCTGCTTCGTAATATGGTCTAGTGATATTCTTATTCACTTGCAAGTAAGAGGTCTTAGGTTCGATTCTTGCCAAAGAAAAATTTGAATTACATTATTGCTAGCCTATAATGATTCTAAGCCCACTCCCTCTCTCTTAGTATAGATATTATCGTTTATTAAAAAAAAATTACAATTATTTTTCCCTTTTTGGGAAGCAATTAAAAAACTTGATATCACTTTTGCATTTGTATGCTATCAAAGAAACACTACTAGAATTATGCTCATTACACACCATTTTTTGCCCACCCTTTGCAATTGGTGGCCATAGATATAAAGTTGCTACTCTTACTATTTTTTGGTGGCTTTACAGTGGGATGCCACTATATTAGTGACCTAAAAAAATCAGCCACCAATATTGGTGGCTGTTAACTAACTTTATTTCTTAAAAATAATTTTTTGTGCATTTGTGATTAACTGGGCACCAATACAATTTATTGAACACCAATAAAACAAATAAAAAAACCATTAAACCTCTCTCCCCTTCACAAAAGTCCAACTCCTCCCCTTCATTCCCTCCACTCGCTTCCCCTTTCATTCTCTCTCTCTCCTCCCTCCCGTATACTCTTCTCTTTCATGCAGTAGCGGCTCCGTCCTCCGGTCACCAACGAGCGTCAAACTATACCTTCAGAATCCTCTTCCCTTCCTCTTTCCAACCCTCGAGTTAGTTTCTCCAAATTTGTAGCCGAATTTTCTCAATTTCAGATCTAAGAAACGGTGACCATACGTATTCCGGCCAATTTCCGGCGAAGTCTGCCTGAATTGGACCTCAACCAAGAGGTAAAAATGGTCCTCTCCTCATGGCTGTTCCCTAGTGTAAGTGATTTTTTTTGGATCGATTCTAGATTTCAAATTTTAATTCCATTTTATGTATGCATGTCGAAGATTGGGGACAAATAAGGTGAATCAAGGTTGTTTCCAACCTGGGCCGATAAGAATGGAAGCCTTGGAAGGTTGTGGGTGAAACTAAGGTGAAGAGGGTTCTTCTAAAAAAATTAAGGTGAACAGGGTGATTTTCTCCTTAACCACAACTATCACATTTTATCTCTTGCTTGGAAATTTTTTTAAAATTCCCAGGATCTGCAGTTCCAATATTTTTGATGGACAAATTAAAAAAGAAGCAACTGCTTTTATAAAGCTTTTGTAGTCTCAAGCACGGTAAATATATTAGCACTAGAAAGTGAGGAAATCCACTTTCTTTGGTCAAGTTGGATTCTCTACTATGACTACCATTTTTATCTCTAAACAAATTTTTAATGATATGTATGATATAAAAGGGTAAATTTAACTATTTTGGTTTCTTTTTTCTCACGCTTTGGTGCCTCGAGTTTTAATTTTTCATAGCTGTGTTGAGTTTTTTTTTTCCAGTTATAATTCTGGAGCCATTGGCAACTTCTAGGGGACCAAAATTGTTTTCAAGTCAAAATACAGGAACCAAATCGTAACTAGACTAGGAGATTACATTACCAAAGTAGGAAAGTTTTGTCTTGATTCATAGTTTGACAACATAATATGTACGTAGGATGTTGTTTTAGAATCGCTTGGTAAGTGTTAAATACATCCTATAACATGACTGACTAACAAGCATGGTCGTTCAGATATACATGCAATTGAGATCACTGACTAAATCAGATTTCTTTTATATTGAAGCAAATCTTGCCTATTGGGTGTTTGTGAAAATTCCCCAGAGAGTTAGAAACAAGGATATGATGCAAATCTGAATGTAGGCTGTTTTGATATGTGTGTGTACGTATAGGTGTGTTATATTGATATGACATGCTGCCTAATTTATCTATTTTTGGATTGCTAGATCAAAGAAGGAAGTTCAATTTATCAAGGATCAAGGTTTGGACTGCTAGACAGCACGTTGCCTTCGGTTTGAGGTATGGAATTAGTCTCGTGCTTGCAATCTGGCCGCTTACGTGTTTAAATTTTTGGTTTATCAATATGCTCAAGATTTGGTTAGCAGGTAGTTATGCAAACAAATTAAAGTTCCTTTTAACATATGGTTGGTAGTCTTAGTGCAAGTAAAACTTCAGTAACAATGTGTTTTTGTATTTCTTTCTAGCGATCAGCTCTTTGTGCTCGAAATTTGACGATCAGGACTTGCCTTTGATTTTATTCAGTGCAGCAGAGTTTTGCATCGATTTTTTCATCTTCTTCTAGATTTCTGTTCCTTTTTTTTTTGTTTTATATTGTTTTGGGATATGTGAATGTAATTTTTTGGGTATTTCTTTGCTTCAATTCTCTCTAATTTTTTGCTGTTTAGTTTGAACTCCCATCGCAGCATCATCATCATCATCATCTGCTCTTGCTGCTGCTGCCTTTGACTGGTATTTCCCTATTTGCTGCCCAAACAACAGTCCTTTCAGATACTACTTGCTTGGAGTACCATATACCTATATAGTAGTTTGAAAGCTGACCTGGTTTGAAGAAACCTAGCTCAAACAACCCACCTGGAGAGACAATGGTTTGATCGCCAAAGAGAGATTGGCATGACATGATTAAGCTCTTTGGAAACAGAGTGTTCAAACACTTCTCAAAGTTTGAATCCCAACATTTGTTCAAAATTGTATTAAAGATTAGTTATGTAAATTTGTAGTACATTCTTATATCAAAGATCTTACAATTTGTTTCCTCACCAAAAATAAAAAAATAAAATAAAAGGAAATATTCCTATTCAAATCTGGGTGCCCACACAGGGCATCCTTTTTTTTTAATATTATTTTGCAATTTTGCCACTGATGTGAATAAGGGTGGCACTGCAGGAAAGGCACCAATGCAATATTGGTAGCCATTGTTACAATAGAGTCCTCTACATAGGCCACACTCTTTAGTTTAGTGGGTGCTTGGTGGCCATAGAGGTTTGCCACCAATGTGAGTGGCAACACTTGACAATAGCCACTAAATGAAAAGGGTGGCTTATAGCCAAATTTCTAGTAGTGAAAGATTATTCTCTAGGTCAGTTAGATGTCACAGTTCTACAATCAACGCTTTGGCATTCATCTTCAAGCCATGGTTAGCTATAAATTCACACATCATTTTCATTCCTTCTAATCTTTCTCAGCTTTCACTTTCTCTTTTCTCAACTATATTCATGCGAAAATTGCAGAAATGGGAGTCCCTTGCAGTCCAAAACAGCGACTATGAATGAAATAGTAGCTCTTCCTTTTGGACTTAAGGGAGCTCCCAATTCTTCTATTTTCTTTCCTCGACAAGGGACTTACAACTAAAACAGCTTAAAATATCTAACCATGCAACCAAAGTCCTGTGTTCTCCTAGCACATATTCTTTGCTTGTATCAAAAAAAAAAAAAAAAAAAAAAGTAGCGCTCATGTGTTGTAGGTAAGTTATTATTTTTTAACTTTTATCTGCTCACTGATGAAACTTGAATCAGTACATATGTACAACAAAAACAAAAAACAAAAGTAAAAAATAAAAATAAAAATATGAAACTTGAATCAGAACAAATACATACACATTCTGATTTCAGGAACATCTTCAAGTTGGTTGAGCAAATTAAACCTAATATCTCTTCCTAAAAACTCCCCATTCATGCAGAAGGCAGGTAATCTTTCTTGATGTGCATAGGAGGGAGGCATATATGCCATCTGCTGCTGATGCTGTTGATGTTTCATTTGGACTGCTTGTTTGATGATCTGGTGTGGCACTTGTTCTTATGAGCACTGCAGCTGATACGTGCTGCAGGATCTGATATAGGTTGGCTTTCTAGGGGTATAACGGGAAGGTTGTCACAGTTACAGATCTCAATCATTGTGCCATCTGGGTCATGGAAGAAAAGCTGATCAACGTTGATCCCACCCTCCTTCACCCTGCGCTTCACGTACTCGATCCGCATCTCCTTCAACTTTGTCTCCACTAAGGCCATGCTCTCACACTGCAAAGAAACAAACAAATGTTTTTTGTTTTCTAGTCATGCCACATGATCAATGGTTCAATACACATGCACATATGGAAAAACATAAGAAGACTTGTAGTTTAAGTGGTTTAAAAAGTATGTTGTACGTTTGGATATATTGATAATCACATGATCAACCGTCTAACTACAGTAACTAGAGATTGATCATATGATTTTCAACATAATATCATCCGCGATATCGGTCTTAAAGAGAAAAGGAAAACGAAAGATGAGAACATATGTACAAAAAGGAGCTATTGAGAGACCTGGAAAGAAATGTGGTTATCCTTGGGATTAATCTGGCTGATCTTGGGCATTTTATCAGGGTCTTCAGATTGGAGAAGATGGATGCCAATGCCATAATTGAATAGCCTATATATGATTAAAATTAACCAAAATTAACACAAAATAATATATCCACTATAGTCTCAAAATCATAGTAGAGAGCTCACAATATATTATTTTTGGTTGAAATGGACACTTCATTCGAAAAGTAGGTAGCATAAGATTTATAAACGACAGTCCATGCATTCACAACCCAAACGTGACTACCAGGAAACAAAAGCGGAATCCTAACTACAACGAAATCAACAAATTGAAGGGTTCTTGTTGGTTTTACAAGTTTATACAGATTATATATGATCTTGAATAATGGAAATTAATAACAGTGGTAATACATATACCATGCACCAGTGAAATCTAACGAGCCAGGCCTCCTGATTGGGAAGAACCCTAGATCATTCTGGTAGAAATCAAGGGATTTCTCAACTGATCTGCAAGCTATCGAGATGTGATTCAAGGACTTCAAATGCAGCGGATTTCCCATGCTCTCTTTCATATGATCCAAATGATATGATATTTGAAAAATATTTGGGTAGAACTATATTTAATAAAAAGGATAGGGACGAGAGGCATGGAATAAGCAAATATATAGAAAACTGGATTGAAGGCTAGATATTAGGGTTTAAATAAATAGAGTTGGGAGGAGAGAAATGGAAGGTGTGCTGCTGCTGCATTTCGTAATGGCTTTTGTTTTTAGGTTTCTGATGATTTTTCCAGATAGGTGATGACCGGCCATTACACGTAGGTTCCACGTTGATGACTCATATCAAGATTGGTATTACTCATTTCTTTTTCAACACGTAAGGGCTTTTCTGACAACCTAGCTAAACTAGCTAATTAATTGGTGAACTTTTATTTCTCTCTGTTTTATGGTGTCGGATCCCTTTCACCAAGTTTTTCTCATCAACTTATCTGAGCCGTTGAAATTTGATCAAACGGCTATAAATAAGAGCTCATTTTAAAAGTTATAATAACTTTAGCCGTTAGATCAAATTTCAAAAACCTAGATTTGTGGCTCAGATGGAAGGGACAAGTTGCATGCCTTTGATCACAGGTCGATTGGTGGCCCCGGATTTGTGTAAAATTACATGCAATCCCTCCACCAAAATATTTTGTATTACCTACACCCTTATGCTATCGAGTTTGGATGATTTTTGGCACTGATCAAATGTGAGTCGCAGTAATTAATAATTAGATAGTTGCTCACGTGTGGAAAGAAAATTTAAATTAAAGTATAAAGAGAGAATATGTTGCTCTAACTAACTTGAATACACCAAGATCATGCAGATTTGTTGCTTTAATAACTTGAATATGTCCTAGATGCTTAAAAAATGAATCAACGACGGTCATTTAGGAGGGAAAGGAAACTCACACCGATAAAGAAAGGAAAAGAAATGTCACAACATAATATCTGTTAGGGTGAATTTTTTTTTAGGGAATTAGTAGGAATATAGTACATTCAAACAATTTAGAATTTCGAATGACAGATAAAAATACATATTGAGATATGGTTTAGTCAAATTAAGGTTTTAAATCATTTATAAATTTTATTGTAGTCAATTTAAATTTTAAAAGACATTTTAAAAGTCAATTTAAATTCATATGTAGTCAATTAGGATTTTAATAATTTTAATTTAAATAAGTGTATACAAATTTAGGTGTAGTAAAAAAATTAGGAATTTGATCGGATTTCATTTTTTAGTGGATTCTATGAAGATATACATGTCAATGGCCATAAATAATTCCACCCTCCCAAAAGATTTCATTGGATCCTTCTCCCCTCACCACGCAACCTTACCGGCGGCTATCCACATCGACCAACCATCACCTCACCCACAACCCTCCTCCCAGCACCGCCTGGACAATTTCCAGCCTTCTCTTTAACTTGGACGGCTTTAACATTGCTTATTCTGCCTTTGCCTATCTTCTATACTTAGTTTTGTCTTCAACTGACTCTTTAGGCCCACCATTGTCAATGTAGCAAAGTTTAACAAAATCCTACCAATATGAGGCATTCATCGTTCATTGAGTTTCAAGAAGTTGAGTGGAACAATTTGGGTTTTAAAGAAAGGAAAAGGATTCTTCTCGGATACTTTTTTTTGGGGATTCTGTAATCATGATTGTTCATCGTACATCGTGCGATAAAAAATCATTTTAAATTTTAAATTTTAAATTAAATATAAATAGTACCTAACAAAAACTGATCAGATGATGTACGATAAACGATCATGATCACAGGATCCCTGAGATCCTTGGGAAAAGAATCCGACGAGGATCATTTTCCTTACGAAAACTAAAAATCCAGTTAAAACTTAAAAGGTCAACAAGAATAACCCTATTATAAAAAGGTTGTGCCATTCACATACAATCTTTTTACTTTTCACATAGGAAATTGTTATTAGCACTCCAAAATTCTCATTTGGTACTTCAAACTTTCTATAATTAGAGAGAAAAATACATTTGAAGTGCTAATAATAGTTTTTTTCATATATTATTATTAACTTTGGCTATTGATTTCGAAAATTAAAGAGAATGTAGGATAAGTAAAAATGAGTGTGAGAAAAAGCCAGGAATAGGCAAATACGTCTTTTTACACAAAGCAATCCACGACTTTTCCCTTTCAGTGCCCAGCTCCCCACTTCCCGGTCCTCCTAGGGTTCTGCCCGAATTTTCTGTGAAAATTTTCACTTTCCCGGAAAAAATCGAGAGAAAATGGACGGAAAAATGGAAATCTCGCTCGACAAGCTTCCCATCAAGCGCTTGGAAGTCATTGAAGAAAACGGCCTTGAAAGATTTCCTCCGTACGTCGTTATTATTTACCGTCTTTTTGTCTGATTTTATTTTCTCGGCAACCAAACAGGCATCAACTTTTTATTTTCTCGGAAACCCTAATTGTCTGTTTCTTCGATTAAAGTGATGTAGGCTACGACGAGAAGCGGCAGAATTTGATTCGGAGAATCGATTTCGCTTGGGCTGTGGAGAAGGACGAGAACAAGAAGCAGAAGAAGAGCTCGAAAGAGAGCGCGGCGACGCAGTGGCAATGGCAGAGCATGGTGGAGAACTTGCAGCTGGCGCACCAGGAGCTCTCTGTTATCATAGATCTCATCAACACTGTAAGTATTTCGATTTTCGTTCGATTTCGGGGAGAGATTCATTTGAAGGAGCAATGCTTGCTGTGATTGAGTGATTCTAATGGAATGTGAATGTGTGCAGGTAGAAACAAACGATGCTGTAACAGTGGCTAGCATGACGCGTCCTAAGCCGCTTCCTAATGAAGCTATGTCTGATCTTGCTGTGTCTGCCGCAACCAAGCTTCAATGCTTCAGGGTAAATTTCGTAAATTTTTTAAATTCGGTAACTTTTTGTTTTGATTGTTCGTGGATATCTGTTTATGTGTTATTGATTACTATTTCAGCATCTTGGAAAGTATTTTAAGCAGTCTGCCAAAGCTTTGGACCGACAGGTTGCTCGAGAAGCGAGATTTTACGGTGCTCTAATCAGGTGAATCTGCAATGTTTAGTGATGCTCTGGCAGTGATGTTAGTTTGTTTGCCATTTATTCTTTCTTATCACCCAGCAAAGCCATTTGCTTTAATTGTGTATTTTCTGCGTCACTTGTTTGTATCACCTATAAACAACTTCAATAAGCCCGTTGGTTTCTTCTTGCACAGAGGAATTAGGGTAACTTAGAAGTTGTGATATTCTGTTTGTGCATGAGTGAAAGGAACTTGGTACGATAGTATTCATATATTCTTGAACAATATTCTCCATCTCGTATATTGACAAGCGGATAGATTGCAGCAGAACTGGAAAGTTAAGCGGCAGCGTATGGCAGCTTCAGCGTCTGGAAATGAAGGCTTTACCATTGATCTGTTTGACAATTCATTATATGATCCAGCTGCTATATTTCGTCCATCTGCTCTGTCTACAGTTCGTGTTGAACATGACTCAGCTGGCATGCTGGCGATTAATCTACCTCCAAATTCATTTCGATCTCTTCAATTTGGGTTTCTTGGTGCTGATCCAGGTGATACTCCAATTGAATCCAGTAAAACCAAAGTCTATTCATCAAGGGAAGCTGAGAAAGAATCTGTAAGTGATGATGAGTGTGTTAAAGAAACGCATTCACTTCTTCGTGAAGTTCATCAAGCAATCTTCGATGAGCAGGTATATTTTTCACATTCTTTTTTTCCTTATTTATCCCTCTTTCACACTTCTTTTTAATGGTTTTTAACTCCTGGTCGTATGGTCCAGGTGTTTAATTTGGTAAATCGTGAAGCTTTCAATCAAACTCTAGGAGTCAATGTAACTGGAATACAAGAAAATTATTTGCAACTGAATATTGGTGAAGGAACCTCTGTGTTCATATCACTTATCCCATCTAAAGATGAACAAACGGCTGACAGTCCAAGCACCCAAAACATAGAGAATGCAATTTTACCTTTGGACACATTGGATGGCCTGCAGTTCCCAGAGGATGATAAACCGGAAACCCCAAAGATAAAGTCAATAATTCCTGATCAAATTAGTTGTGAAATATATCTGCAACAGATTTTTCACCAGCATGTATTTGTCAAAGCAAAGGATATACCAACTTCAACAGGTGCTCGAGTATCTGGTCAACCAGCCAAAGAAGGTTCTGGACTTCTTGGTCATTTCTGTTTGTCTTTGGCTCATCGGATCTTTTCAAACAAAGTTCTTAAGGAGCTGGAAAATGTGGTAAAGCTCAAATTCTTGTGAAGACATCAATGCTTGAATTTAAATTTGGTTGAACTTTTTCTCACTTGTGTTCATGATTCTGTAGGTTAAAGGGGTACCATATCTGCAGCTGTTATCTCACCCCACTTGGCATTCGCGGACATCATCATGGATGCTCTCTGTGAAGATTCCTCAATCTATTCTACATGCATGCCAAACCCGAGCATCTGACATGCGTCACATGAGGAACGTTGCCAAATCTCAGTTTCATACTAAGGTGGTTGTAACAGATGATTGCATCAATGTAGAAGGGGAAGGTGCTCCTAATGTGGTTGGCCTGTTCAACGAGAATTCTGAGGAAATTTGTTCAATGAACAGATACGATTGTGACTTGGCAGATCTTCCCGTGATAATTTTGCAGCAGGTATTTCTTATATTTCTGAGGTGGTTTAACCGGTTTTAATTTATTAAAAAAAAAGGAGTGTTGTGAAAAACAGATTATTGGCAAACACACCATTGGTGTCTTGTGATGTCTGTTAGCATATGGTTGCATGTGGTACGCTACAACTCATGTGTGCTTAACATGATTGTGGAATTTGGCAACAGGTTGCAGGTCAAGTTATTCGCTGGCTTCACGAAGAAGCTCTTACGGTTGGAATAAAGGCAAAACGAGACTTTCTTTGTTTGTCATTTGAGCTGGATCAGGGCGAAACACTCAGTTTGGTGGCACATGTGGACCCAGAAGACAGTGAAGGATGTATCTCATGGTGGTTGGTCATAGACGGCGGGTTTATAGAGGAACGAAAACTCAGTATAGACGCTTCCGATGCTGCATCAGAAACTAGGAAGTTTTTAGGTCATCTATCCCTGGAAGTGTTATATTCAACACTGATGGACTTGGTTAGCCTGTGCAACGGAGGCGGTAACTGACGGTGAAGTAGCTGCTGGTTGTTTTTTCTTTTTTCTATGTTATGTACAAATGTCGTCGTCATGTAATCGATATACGATCCCATAACCCATTGTGGCATGCTCTTTGCACCTTACTTTTTGCCCCCATTAACTACTGTAATAAAATGTAACCTTGTTTTTGAGTGAGATGGCAATAGCTCTAGCATCCCGGACTGGCCGGCTCGAGATCGGCACTGCCGGACCCGACAGGCAAAATATTATTGTGGTTCATAATCCAGAACACAACCCTCGGCCACTAACAACATCTGAATGCAACATTCTTCCTTTTGCAAGCGTGCAAAACAATGCCAAATTGAAGCCAGCAATTTGCTTGCTTGCCTTCGAAGCAGGCAATCAACAAGAAAAGTAAAAGTCAACTGGGGAAGACGAACCTAGACGTTTCGCGTTTGGGCCAATCACCCCTCGCCAACTTTTAGTAGGCGTGACTTTTAAACCATCTCAATCTTTTCGTTGCGTAGTCAATAAATTCAGCTTTCTGTATCACACGGAAAAAATGATAAATTTGTGGTAATTAAATCAATTAGTGACACAATTCTTTTCATGGTTGCAGCCGTGTTTGAATTTTTCTACCTATATAATACAAAAAAAGTAATAAATTCGTGATAACTAGTCAGATTTGTTATGCGAATGTTCTTATTTTTTTTTTCATCTAAACTCGAATTCTTTTATGAGAAATTTTATTTGAACTCATTTAACTTATTTCTACATTCAACTTATTCTATTTACCCATATTGTTTTTTATTAAAGAATTAACAAATCAAGATACATTACCTAACCAAAAACATTAAAGAGGGAAATTTAAAAAATTTAAAATCAAAATTGGAAGCTTCTTTTTCTTTGCTGACATTCTTTTTCTCAAACGTCCACGAAAGGAATAATATCCTTAATTACGTCTTCCCCAGTCCCTGCAAACTTGCAATCCAATCCAGACACTTTCTTTCTTCCGTTGATCCAATTCTGTCTTCCCTCTCCAAACACCTGCACCCGCTCGCACAGACCCAAAAGACCAAAATACCCCTCTAGAGTTCCGTTAGTAACACAGCCTTTACACACAGCTCTCTCTCTCTCTCTCTCTCTCTCTCTCTCTCTCTCTCTCTGCTCTCCTCTACTAGGACTGCTGCGTGCTTCGGATTGGTGTCTGGAAATCGGAGAAACCGATGAAATTGGCGTCTGGGTTCCGACGGGAGGTTGAATTCGGGAACTGTGTTTGAAGACTTTGAAGCATTCGTTGGAGGAAGGTATTGGACTCCAGGACCAGATGGGTTTGTTCTTCTGAAATTCTTGTTTTTTGTATTGGAATTCGAGATGGTTTTGCGGGAGTTTGGATTTCTGATAAGGGTTCTTTGGTTTATCAAGATTTATTGGTTCTTTGATGAGCATGTGGTGGACTTGTGTAATTTTAGGTGATATTGGTGATTGGATTACTAGATTATTGCATTCAATTTTCATAGATACAGAAACACATTGCTGCTCCAAATTTGATTAGAGGTTTAGGAGCAGCAGAGAGAGTAGAACAGTTTACTACATTCCTTGTAGAATTGAATTTTGCCCGGTGGGGGTTTAATTAGTGATTGATTAGCGTGGTTTGGTCAGATTCTGCGGCTTGAGATTCTTATAGTTTGTGTAGTTCATATTGTTTGTATCGATGTCCGGTGGTACGCCAACTGGGGCCGGATACATGAGGCAGAGACATAGCCAGGGCTATGCATCTAGCGGCGATGATCTTGAGGATGATGCATGCTCGGTTATGCGCACTTCATCCCCACAAACTCCGAAAGTTTGGTCATGGATTGAGATTTTTGAGAATGTCCTTTGGCTTGCCTCAGCAGCATTCATTGTGTACTATGGTGACAGGAAATCCAACTTGATATATCTCTTCTGCCATGATGAGCGAATTAGAAGGTATCGGTTTTGCTTGAATTGTTCTCAGTTTGCACCTCTAGTTATTTTGTTTGTTCATTTGTTAGAAGGGTTGTGCCTCAGGCTTGTGATAAGTGATATGTGTTACTGTTTTATTGCTAGTGTTATTGGACAAGTATACTGTATGACTTGGTTTTTTAGTCTTGCGTTGTTGGGAAACGATACAAGACATACTCGTGGAAATTTGGTAGTTTCCCATTGAATTGCCTGGTTGCATTTGCAAGCTTTGACAGAGCTTAAACTTATGTTTGATGTATTGCTTGCTATTTTTTGACAGAGCCTATGCCTCTTCATTTCTGTTCACGCAATTGTAATATTAATTTATTAAATGAGAATTTGGATTATGTGATTTTGATTTATGGTCAAGTGATTTGTGCATATATTTGCTTAAGATTTGGGTTATGTGTAAGACAAACATAATCATGCTGTTTAGAAAATTCTTATTCTTTTAGCGACTGGAGAAGCAAGGTTTGCCTGCATATATTCAGTAGTTGTCACGAATTATATGGTGTATTAACTTTTAACTGATCGGGATACATATACATTTTAAAGCTTTCATTCTTATCTATTTTATATAACTTGCAGATTGCCTTTATACCTTGGGATGGCGGGCGTAGTTTTAAACATTATCATCTTCTTTTATACGAGTATGTCGGCATGGAGCGTAGGGAGATTTGACGAGAAATGGGAATTAGCAAGTATATCTGCTTTGCCATTTGTGACACTAGTTGGCGGCATCTCCTTTTGCTTGTAAGAGGAACCATACTGCAATTCCATTTACATTCATCACGTGGTACGTTTACAATTACTGCTTCTGACTTGCTGCTCTTTATTTTTTGGCAGCTTCTGCTTCGCTTTGTGGCCAATATGGAGTTTCTTGACGCTTCCTCTTCTGGTAAATCCTGTTTTTTCATCTTGTCATACCTTGTAGATTTACGTATTATTTTTGCTGTGGCAAACTGTCTAAGTACTGTTTGCATTACTGCAGTTCACGCTGTTTATGGCAGGCATGGTTATATGCCCATACATTATAATTGGGATATTTAGGCAACAGCATGATGTGCTGCGTACAGATTATGCCTCGGAGTTAGGTGAAAAACAATACTGATCTAGATCAAGAGCTTCTAACTCAAACCAGGGATGGTTAGTCGCGTCAGAAGAAGATTGAAGTTTTATCAGATGCTCTCCTTGCCATATTTTGCGAGATTGGCCGTTCTGTCATTGTCTTCCAAATCAGTCGGCTTCTACTTTTACCTGAACCTTATTCGGTCGATCAGACTGATGGTACATCCATAAGAGTTCTGTATTAGCGTGAAGTGGATTGGTTGGGATGTAGTTTTTTTGATCTGATACCGGTTAGCGATTAACCATATAAGCACATTGAATCTTTCGAATAGAAATGATGCTCTTTGTTGCTGGTATGAGCCATCTTCGCTGGGGAAGGAGGTTGTGAAATCACCTCTTATGTCCTTTTTTTATCTTTTCTCATTGTAAATGAGCAATGTTTGCACCATAAATTCTGTAGCTTTGAGAGAAACTTCACTATTCGATTTTGTATACCCCTCTCGATCTCGTTTGCTTGCCTCGGCTAGAACTGGCATGGTAATTAATTTTCCTAAACTAAAGAAAACTTTAGGTAGGAGTGTCCAACCATGTCATTTATAAGACACTTCTTACAAAAATATAAAATCTCTTATATTTTGGTCCACCCGACCCAAGCTCTAGCCCTACTCCGTGTGAGAGTCGCTTTGGTCAAAAAGCCCTACCGAAGTTTCTTTCATGACCAATAGAATGTGTGGGAGTGTTGAGTTGGAAAGTGCATGTGAACCGCACAAAGAATGAAAGAAGTCAAGTCACCATGCCTTGTCCCCCATCAAAAGGGAAAAGTGGTTTGTCACTACTCTGATCATTCTCTGCTTAGTGCTCAGAATAATTGGTTTGAGTTTGCATCGCATGGTGAATAAATGTCACACTCAAATTCCAACACAAAAGCTTGTACAATTATACCGTGCAATATAGGGAAACTCCCAATCTGATGGCCACGTTTGTTGACTAGGATTGGATTAGTGCATTAGATTAGATCACATTGTATTAGAGAGGTTAACAATAGTCTAATGTGATGTTTGGTGCTACACAAGAATGAGGAGTTGGATTCTCTGAAAAATGTACTTGTGTTCAAAAGTCTAAGTTCCATTTGTCTTGGGTTTGCATATCGGGTACTGAGAAGGATAAGAATGTTCTTTAGAGCAACTCCAGCGTTGGAGCCCTCCCCCCTGGCAGTACACTATTCAATCCACTTAATGAACAGTAATTGCCCTTAATGAACAGTAAGTAGCCCTGGCAATAGAATTTGCATCTCCACCGTTACACTTCAATAGCCCTGGCAATAGGCAATAAAATATTAGTATTTTTTTTATTTATAAAATAATACAAAATAATTTTAATTGTAAATATCGGATAAGATTTTTAATCGTTCTCGTTACGCCACGTGTCATTATCCGAATTGCTTGCAACCTTAAAATTGTGATTGTGCATAATTCTCATCTTAATTAGTTACACTCTTTATTTTATCATGGCTTTGATGTAAGTAGTAGACGCTATGTTCACATATGTACATATTTTCCTTTGGTTAATACATTAAAGCATATCATCATTAAAGAGAATGGCACCATCATACAAGTAGACTTTATGTTTTTTTCTTCAAAATAAAAAAAAGTAGACTTTATGTTTTTGCATGTATATATTGTTCATCTTCGTGTGGTTTTTAATCTATGTAAAGGACTTTTAATTAGAACCATGGACTTTTAATTATTTTATACAAGGACTTTTAATTAGAACGATGGACTTTTAATTATTTTATACAAGGACTTTTAATTAGAACGATGGTCATGGACTTTTAACAACATAAATAACTTACCAAATTAAACTTACCAAATTAATTCTTAGTATAAATAACTTACCAAATTAATTTGAATAAATATTCAAGAAATTGGAAACAACATAAATAATACAAACAATAAATAATAAATTACAACCCAAAGTGATTGAAAGTAGTTGAGAGAATATGAAATTGTTGTGTAAGGTAGATGATAATGAGAAGGTATTTATAGAAAAGTAAAAACAATTTTTTTTACAATTTTTTTCAGATTTTTTTGAATTTTTTTGAATTTTTTACAATTTTTTTTAAATTTTTATTCAATTA